TGCTTGGTTTTAATGACTTATAACCTTTAAAAGTTGATCAACAGACATCAGGATTCGAAATAAACAAAATTTCTGGAAAATCCGCAGGGTTACATGTACCAGTTTTAAAACTTGTTCATTAGGTTTAGTAAAAAATAAATACACATCATTTTTGCTTAATTGTGTTTGGACGTCAATAGTTGTTTTTTAAAGACTGATTTATTTCAGAAAACAAAGTACTTAATTTTTTGTAAATGGTAGCGTTAGGACAAGATTGAGTCATCTCCGTGCCTTGTGTTACTGTTCAAGCGCGGTGGTCGTCGCGTAGCGCGTGTTCAAATTTCATGTAAATAAACAATGTATTTTGCAAGTGTTGTATACGTCGCTTTGAGTCCCATATCGAACAGGACGCGGCACAACGACTGCCGCCCTTTAATTTTGAGCCCTGCAAGATGTATACTGCTTTTATATGTTACTAACAATCTTTTTATATCATGTGTCTATGCTACAGCTACCTTCACCTCTCGAACAAGCATTCTGTTGTATGGTTAACTACAGCTGCTTTACTGACTGCTTTTAAACCTATTAAATATCATTTCTTGGGTTCACTGGCCTTACTTGATTTGTATGTTTAACGTTCAACCATCATTCGGTACATTTGTCACTTCATCTCAACGTACATAATTTTGTTCTTTTGGAAGCATTGCAAGCTGTTTTAAACATGAATGGGAGCAACATTGACCCATGAATTTCCTGATTTTTTCCCCCCACATTATTTTCAAAGACTAGCTATTTGAAAGTTCAAAGAAAATTTTTTTCACTTTAGTCTGTGGTCATCAGTCTTGCATCTGCATCCTGCTTCTCTATCAACTAAATGACCTCTTCTTGAATAACAATTGATTGTTTTGATACTTTTACTTTTTGATTGTTTTAAATTTACAAAAAATTATGCTGTCTTTTTTGACAAGAATTAATGAAAGTCATTTTTAACGGCCACCACTCTTTCTGTTTCCTCTTGCTGTTAATAAAATTACCAAATCTTTGATGTACCATTTCTTGATTCTCTTTCTCTCATGTCTATATAGACTATACACCAGCCTCTTCCTCCACAGGCTAGTGTTGCTCCTAGCCCGCGACATCAGTCCTCTCGTCCTGTCGGGCCTATACAAAAGTCGCATACCTCGTTCAGTGAGAAAGCCAATAGGACTAGCGGTGGGATTCAAGGTCTAAATATGACCTACTCGACCCCAGCACAACCAAATCATCCATCACAGGACACTTATATCCATCAACATGACACTTTAGAAGCTGGTAGTCTTCCATCTTCTGCTAGGCATGATGGGAAATCAAATGCAAAGCCTTCTGGGTCTGTTTCATCAGGGGTTAGTGTTAAGTCTGTCTTTTTCGCGGAGAAAATTTGACCTACCAGTTTGAAGTCTTACAACTTAATTGACAAAAAAAATTTTCAATGAATTGTAAATTCTGAATTTATAAAGTGCGCTCATTTGTACATTGCTCATTGTGACCGCACTTTCTGTTTTTCAAAATTCTAGGTCAATACAAAATCAAATTATACTTGTAAATAAATTTCCCTCTGTAGTTTGAAGTTGTTCAGCTTTTGTTTTTATGCATGATTTCTAATCGGTCTCAATAACTGGTATGATGTGTGCTACTTGTAATATTCTTGCATGTAATGTTACACTTTATATGTTCTGTCATGTGATATGTCATGTGATGTCATGTGATATGTCATGTGACCAGACCTGTTAACCTTCGGCAGTAGTGACCTGTTACTATCTCGTCTTTCATTGCTTATGTCCATGATTGTAAACTACTGAATATTTCTCATATAATCTTTTGTAGGTCTCATAATCTGGTCCAAAATCAGTATGGTACTGAACTGTTTTTAAATTCTGAACAAATAATTCTGTTTGTTTTTTTTATTTTGAAAAATTAGTTTTGTCTTGTGTACAAACTCAAAAGGTTTATCAATCTTGACAATTTACAGTGGTAGTTGCAATGATCACAATAAATTGACTATTTCTGACCACATGCAATATGCAAGTATGATTACACCTGAACAAACATGGATTAATTTCAGGTCTGCATGAAATCATCTCAAATACACACCATGTCACATGACATATTACTCTGTGTTTACTCAGTTGTTACCAGATAGTGGCTCAGTACTGCATGGATTTTAAAATAACACAGCATGTCGCTCACTATAAGTACGAAGTGAACTGTGTTTGTGGTTCACATGTCGTTAATTTAAGCTGTTTCAACCAATTATACATCACTCTGTTGTGTACATTACGTTTGTGATGCAATTCCATACACAAATCACTCAGCTTTCAGACATTCATTGCTCTACTTTGTTATTTGGAGAACTTTGCACAATGGCATATTGATCTACTTATTGTCATATTTGATCTATTTTCCGGCTGCTTCAAAAATCAATGATGAAATGAAGTCTTTTCTTGCCTCAATATATAAATGAAAACTGCATGTCACACAAACTAGGATTGGCTTTAATAGGCCCAAATTTCTGTTTGATTTGTTTTCCTAAATCGATGCATTTTTTTATTTTAATCATTGTGATAAAAATTGTGCTTTTATCTTGTGACGTTGCACATGTTCAACAACCAGGAACATGAATGCTTTGGGCCTTATGATTGCTGACGAAATCAGTATTTTTAAATAAAAATAAATTTGTTAGTCTTATCCTCCACAAGTATTGTGTTTAACACTGAGTTTCCTCGAAGCAGATTGGTGGTCAGTTCTACCCGGTCACCACTTTGGAAGATGTCCAAGCTATCCGTGCAGTAGCTTTCAACCCTACTGGCTCCCTGTACGCTGTCGGTTCAAATTCCAAGACGCTTAGAATATGTGCGTATCCAGAAGTAACGGGGTAAGTCTCTCAGCATAGTTTATTAAAATAGTTGAATTTATTTATAAGGAGTAACAACTTGCACATTGTCATATCTCCCATAGGGGCCTATATTTAGGATATGTTTCAGTTGTCTAGTTGTATATGGAAGAAATTGTGGGGGGAAAAATTGAACTGTAGAGGGCGTTTGGGAGGGAAACTCTCATCTTTTGCATAGATCCCTGTGTTAAAATCAGCTTTTTACCTCTTTTAAACACTATTTTTTTGGAAAAAAAAAATTGATGATTATATTGTTGGACTTTCCATTAATTTTACTTGCAAGATTGTTTTTAAGGTTTTTTTTCAGATTTGTTACTGTTTTTGGCTGTAAGCTGTCTAATCCCCAAATACTTGAACTAGTTTTAGATGAAACTTGTGTTTTATGTCTGTCTGCTATTCCGTTGCTCTTTCATGCACAACTAGAATTTGTATGTCCTTTGTATTCTAATAATTTTTCATTCAATCATAAACCAGTGTGTATTTCACTTTACAACTGATAATTTATATGATTCCATCAACTTCTTTATCCATGATATTTTCTCTATTAAAAGTACATGCAATTTAATAGTGATTTCGGTTGGCACAGTATATATGTAATTATAACGAACATAACAAGAGCGGAAATGGACTGAAAAAAGTTCTGAAATAGTGTCTCGAATCCATTTTATCTGCAGCGAAACACGAATCGTTTATGGTACCATCTTGAATTCCGCTAAACTCGTGCATGGACTAATACTTGAATATGCGAAATTTACCCACTTTGACGTTCTAAGCCTTTATTATTACTTAACAATGGCATCATTCTTGATTACACATAAACCTCTTCACTATTTAGCTACCATTTTTAATTCTAAGGAGTTTCCCATGATTCAGTGGGAGAGGTGAGAGGTCATGCAAATGTAATATAAAATATATGGCATATTTTTTCTTGTCTTGTTCACAGATCTGAACAGCAATCCATGCAGCCTAATGTTCTGTACAAGCGCAATCGTCACCATAAAGGATCCATCTATTGTGCTGCTTGGAGCGCCTCCGGTGAGTTGGTTGCCACGGGATCCAACGACAAGGCCATTAAACTAATGAGATTCGACATCAACAAATGTAACGCTGATGGTAAGTAAAATACTGATACTGTGAATCAAAGGCAGATAAGATCAAGGGCGAATTTATTTTAGTTGGGTCATTATCACGTCATGAGGTCATTTGATTTGGACAATTAATCAGTAATCTATATTCAAATTACAACTGTTAAAGCGGAGGAGTCGTCAAGTGAACAATCTCGCCATCTATGCACATCATATCAACTAAAGCGACGCGTGTCAAATGCATTCAAATTTAAAGCGGGGGAGTCGTCACCTGCGCAT